AAAATATTTCAACCTACAACTACAAAATTATTAACAAAAATATTTATATTCAGTTTTTTATGTTAAGTCTTTGAAGTCCAACATGTAATTTACACTGAGAGCACAACTCAATTTGGATACTGAATTTTCACAGGAAATCTGTTTTTTAGATTTCGTAAAATTTCTAAGTTAAAAAGGTAGATTCACGTGCCCAGCTTGTTCCAAACATACATGAAAGTTTTTCAGTAACTGAAGTATCAATTTTTAAATATAAATTAGCTAAAGTTAAATAAAATTGTAACTCACTTGCGCAGTCATACTAGCTACGTATTTCAAGGTTTCCATAGCCACATGTGGTTAGTGACTAGTCTACTAGGCAGCACAGTGATGAGCTCTAAAGAGCTCTCCTGATACACCAGGCCAGTGACTTCTACCTCATCATCATGCCATGGCACCTTCCTCTCTTCTACCTCCATGAAGTACCTAGAAGTCTTGCCCTGGCAACAGAGAGAGAAACAGAACTTTAGTATTCACAAACTTGGTTACTTTTGCCCTTAACCATTGTACATGGAACACTCAACATGGAGCAAAATCTTCGTTTTTCCATTACTCTGTTTGGCATGGGGGAATTAAAAGGTGTGCCCTTTCCTGTTGCAGGAAGTCAACATTCACCACCTGTGGCATTTTTCTGTCCCCAGTTATTGTGGCCCCAACCCTCAACACGAGTTGCGCCACCTCCTTCAACTCAGTATGTTCAGGACACATGGGTTTAGTTTAAATAATAAGCTAAGCAAACCTTGATTGAGAGGGTAACTCTGCTGCAAACAGATAATTCTTTATGAAGACAAGTATAAATTGAGGCTAAGGGATGATTTAATTGCTATCTTATTCAACACTGCAAATTTTGTTTAGCTAGGAAATATTGACTAAGTAGTTCTTACAGTTAATTTGGTCTTAAAATCCTTACCTTCAACATCATATGTTATTTTATTTATCCACTCCCCCAAGGTTTTGTGTTTTTTTAATGTAAAGCCAATTATGAAAACGTAATCAACTTTTTCAGGAAGCTAGATCAAAATCATGCTGCAAAGCCTTCTTACAAGCATCCGGTCCCAGCCTCCTAGAGATGTCCTGACATTGACAATTGCAGCCAGATCTGCAAGTAGAAGGATAAAGCGCAGTCTACGTTTGGTCTGCTTAAACCTTTGGTTAATAAAGAGGTCTTTTAGAAATCTCACAGACATTGAAAAAGGGAGAAAAAAATCCATACAGTTCAATACCATCCCTAATATCAGGGATGCCTTCTGGTCCAGCTATACCCATTTCCTGAGCATTGGACAGAATTTCCAAGGAGCAGGCCTTGTGCACTTAAGCATTCAACAAACATTTGTTGGAGCGAGTTGTGTGGCCCCTTAGCACCTTCTTTCTTTTCATGGCAGGATTTTATCATCTTTACTGAGGCAACACTGGCAGACCAAGTAGATTAAACCATAGGCAGGGTTGAATCTAAGAGCGAGATGACTTGCTCTGTGAATCTGCTGTTTGGCTACACCAAAGACTATCATGAGTGGAAGGAAGTGCGGTGGGATTTCAGTGAGCACAGAGACATTGGGAAATAGCTGTTTATCACGTAAGTGAAACTGGCATCACGATAATTGTCTTTGAATTGCCACAGGATTTTGAAGTCCACTAATTTGCCAGCTAATTTCAAACAATCTATGATACTCTAGAAATCCAGGTCTAGAAATGTAGTTGTATAGATGACAGAGCAGTAATCTAGAACCTGAGGTCTTGAATTATTGTCTATAGTTTAGCAACTGAATTTTGTAAATCATTTAACGTTTATGCTCCCCAGCACCTACACATGGGTGAGAGAGAAGTTTAGACTTGGTGATTTCCCAGCTCAAGCTTCCAAACAATTTATTCTCTAGGGCTCATACTGCATTGATCATAGCAATCTTTCCCACTGTACCCAGATGGAGCCTCAGAATCCCTCTTAACACAGCACTCATTCAGCCACTACCAAGCCGTCAGAACTGGCTTACAGCTGAAACTGATTTTTCATCCCTCTCCTATGTCTTTTTCTCAGCTCTGTGCATTGTGCAAGACTTTGAAAAGGAACACACGGGGAATTATCATCTGTATGCAGGGTTTTGGGGATAAGGGAACGTCAGTTCTTTACTCATCTTCTTGCTCAGCTGTTCCATGGAGGTGTTGCCATCTGACAAGGAGGGCTGCAGCTTGGCACTTTGGGAGCTCACTTTTCCTTTCCTTTGAGCTATAAGTGATGAGAGACCTGTCAAGGAGAGCAGTTCACTGGCATCATTCCCAGACCTGGAAGCATAATGAAATAAAGTTTAATTCTGACTTGGTTGGAATTTTTATAGCTGAACATTTGAGATAGCATCTGGGGCAGTTCTAACGTCCATTTGCCTGGTTGGAATGAAGCACCCATCAGCTAGTGGAAGTCAGGCCTTCATACTGGCAGCCCATACTGACAGGCTTGACCGTTGGGCAAATCATTTCTAAGTAGAGCCAGCCAGGCCACAGGTCCTAGCAGCTGAGATGGAGCTCACTCATGTCTAATGGTCCAGCAATGTGAAATATGCATTATAGAAGTTTTATCATATGTAGAGAATGATATCAAAGCAGGAACTGGTCTGAAAGCCACCCACACCGGTACTGAGCATCGACCTAGACTACTTAATGTTAAGGGTTCAATCCAAGGCTGGGGCTCTGGGGATCCTATACTGGTACAGTCCACTGGCACTCTTCCTATTACCTACACACTTAACAACTTTAGAGAACAGAGGGGGTCAATGGACAAAAGCCCCAACTCTAGATTCCATAAGCCAGGCTCAAACATCTCTGCAAAGTAGACCCAAGAAGCTTTGCAAAGACCACTTGATGGGACATCCCTCTGTCCTTAAAATTTCTTGAGGACTAGGTAGATGACTACTTAACCCCTCTGAACCTTAGTTCCCTCATCTGTAAAAATGGAAGTAAAGGTGCATTTCTCACAAGGCTGTTGGTGAATGAAAATTAAATTATGGTGTCTGTGTAAGTGATGAGTACACCATAATGCACTGTGCAAGGAGAAAATAGTATGATTACATTCCTTAGGTAGAAGCCATTTTTTTTTTTTTTTTTTTTTTTTGGTATCTCGAAGAATGTCTAGCTCAGCTCTGGCTGTGGAAGTTTCTGTAATTGGACAGCTAGAGTGCTAGGAGGGCACATGCTGTCTGTTCTCAGATCACTATCCTAAATCCTCATTTAGGCCACCCCTACCCTGCTAGCACCAGAGGCCACCCGGAGAGAAAAGGACACTGCCCTTAGAACAAAGAGCCTGGGGTGAAGTCCCAGCTTAGCCACTAGTAAGATCTAGGTCTTGCCATATAGCCTCTCCAATCTTTAGTATCTTTTTTTCTCATGTACAAGATATAGATAATATCTATCCTATCAGATACATAGAAATGTTCAGAGAATAAATGAATTAACATATCCCATGTGCTCTGTGGATTGTACATAAGGTAATATATAAAGTATTACTATTATTACTTCAAATCTAATATCTCTTAACAGCTCAGCCTTGTTTATAGAGAAAGAATCACTGGAAACATGTTTTTGGAGCGTGAGTCCCAGAAGCTCCAGGATAGTGATGTATGCTTTCCTGATTTTGGAAGCCCATCAACATCAAACGATATTGTGCTTCTTGGCAGATGCCTTGTGGCATTCAGGAAAGCTGTGACCCGTCACAAATAATTGGTGGCCTTTACATTTGTTAAGTCAAAGATGTTTTGGTCTCTGCATATAGCCCATAAATCTTTCCGGATTGCCAAGTTTTAGTCATCCTGCCCCAACTCTGTCTTCTTCATGAAGACATAATAAAGCTTTGGAAAACATACATATTTTTTGTTCTTCCATATGGAGGTTGCCAGGCATTTCTTGGTAGCTTTCTTCTCTCCCCCATCCCCCCTAGCCATGTACTTTACACCCCTGAATTATGTATTCTGTCCAGAAAGGAGAATTGGTGATGTCTTCCTTTGTTATGTCTGGTTTTCTATTTACTATAAACCCATCACATCCTGGATCTCAAAGAATCCTGAGTCCTGGGATGGCAAATAGATTCTGTCTGGTGAAAACTTGGGTGCTGTGGTGGAGGCTGCAAAGGGCCCTCATCTGGGCTCAGTGGGCCCTTGGGTGGGAGGGAAGGGTTGCAATGCGCAGTTACCTTATTACAGGTGAAGAAAGTGAGGCTCAGAGGAATTAATTGACTTGCTAATATGTCCGTTAACAAGGGACAATGTTTACATCTCCTTGCTCTCAATTCAGTCAACAACCAGTATTTGCTGAATGCCTGCTCCGTATCATTTCTACGCCTTGGTATTATCTGTGAACATAAATAATCCGTGAACGTCTATGGATTAACCTGCATGGAAGTTTATTTTTCATGCAATCATTAGCCTCAAAGTTGTCCAGAATTGAGAGGCTACGATAACAAAATTCCCAACAAACCAATTATTTATATAAGTTGACCTTTGAAGAACACAGGTTTGAATCCACTTACAGGTGGATTTTTTACAGTACAGTACTATGAATGTATTTTCTCTTCTTTATGATTTTCTTAATGACATTTTCTTTTCTCCAGCTTACTTATTGTAAGAATACAGTTTATAATACACATAACATACGAAGTATGTGTTAACTGACTATGTTATCGGTAAGACTTCTGATCAATGGTAGGCTATTAGTAGTTAAGTATTGGAGGGGTCAAAATTATATGCAGGTTTCCAACTGTGTTGGTGCATCTAACCCTCACATTGTTCAGAGGTCAACTATATTCACTAATTCATTTGTATATTCACTTACGTATTCATTTTCCTGCCCATTTACATAAAGGATAAAGATCCACTTTTTAAAAGTTGGGCTCTTGTAAGAGTTCTTTCAAAACAACTTGAAAGTAATTGATAAAAACAAACTGACCGATAACTGCCTTTGATTTTTGCCTTTGTTCCCCTCAGTCTGCTACTTTATATGGCCGTGCTGGCACAGAGGTGAAAATGAACAATGAAGAAAAACTGAACCATAACAGCAAACTCAAGAGCTGTCCACTCTCCTACTTTTTGCAGAGCAGCCTAGAAGATGAAACATAGAGGAACCAAAGAATGTTCACTTTACCCAAGGTTTCTGAACTGTTAGACTTGTCAAGGGAGAAAGAATTTGCAACGATGGTGATAGGGAGCTGTTGCAATTCCATGTCACTTGGGGAGAGGCATGAGTAGCAGGGGCTGGGAAAATCTCTTAGCCCTCTGAACACTGTAGTTAACTCTACAGCAATCGCACCGACGGTGTGTGGTGCCGTCTCTCTCTCCCACCCCTGATGTAGTTGCAGACGCTCACTCCCAGTCACTGGCTTCAGGGCCGGAGCAGTGTCAGAAGCACTTGCCTGGTGGTTCTAAGAATTGTGCCCTCTAGGTGCTAGGCACTTTACATATGCATAGGTCCTTTTAATGGAATTTTCCAAGTCTTCTTTTAAATTATTATTCTTAATGTAGCTGTTACTTTAAAATTACTACATGCAGTGGTCTGTCAAGATACAGTTTTTTCCTGGTTTTACTGAGAACTGATTGACATACATCACTGTAAGCTTAAGGCGTATAGCATGATGGTTTGATTTACACATGTGCAGTGATGACCACAATAGGTTCAGCTAACATCCATCTTCTCCTATAGATACAATAAAGAGAAAAGGAAAAAAAATTCTCCTTGGATGAGAACGCTCAGGATCTACTTTCTTAACTTTCCTCTCCACCACACAGCAGTGCTAACTGTAGTCATTGTGTTGTACATCATGTCCCTAGTACTGACTTATAACCAGAAGTTTGTACCTTTTCCCCGCACTCCTCCAGTTCCCCGTCTCCTCACCCTCCACCTCTGGTGACCACTCATCTGATCTCTTGTTTTATGAGTTTGGTATTTTGTTGGTGGTGGTTTGCTTGTTTAGATTCCACATGTAAGTGAGATCATACACTATTTGGCTTTCTCTGACTTATCTCACTTAACATAACACCTTCAGGGTCCATCCATGTTATCATAAATGGAAGAATTTCCTCCCTTTTTTTTATGACTTAATAATATGCATTGCATCTATATACCACAACCCTTAGGATACAGGTTTTTATGAAAGAGCGCATCCCCCTATATGCATAGGACAGAGGGTGGGATTCAAGGGAGTCTTTAGCGTGGATTCTCGGTCTCCATCTTTTATGCTAATACATGTCATTGCAGCGTTAAGAGCAATGGTAAAAGGCATTATATCCCTATTTACAGATAAGGAAACAGATGTAGAGAGTTAGCTCATCATCCTTCCCGTAAGTGGCAGAGTGAAATTCAAATCCAGGTCTGTCCTGTGTTCCTTTTACCAACCTCTAATGCTTTCATTTCAGCCTCACTCCCTATACATTGATTTATAACGAATGCATTAGAAAAGTAGTCTTCAGTCTGGGGTGCTCATTCCCCTGAAAAGTGTGAAGACTTTTCAAGGGAAAGGCAGGCATGGATAGTTTTAAGGTGACCCATTCCCCATTCTCAGTTTCCACCTGTACCTTAAAGCCCATCTTCAGAGGTCACCTGTGACCCTCCCAGCAGCCTGCTCCCTCTTCACAAAGGAAAGGTCTCCTCTCACCTTCATCAGGTCTCACAATCGTGTGTGGCCCAAAGTGTGGAAACATTCTCTGAGAGCCACACAAAGGCAATGTGACAGGTCCTTCAAATAAAGATCCATAAATGGGTTCCCATCTTTATAAGAGATGGAGTCCCAATAAAATCTTTCTCTTGGGTTTAATAATCATCAACATTTGTAATATATTTGTTCTAATTACTTTATATTAGTAATGGTGCTGTTAAACTCAATGAGGAAGAATATTTTTATCATAGCCTCCCGTTCACAGAAAATGTATTTTAAATTAGATTTTAGTATATATATGTTTTTGTTTCAGAGAAGTGTAATAGTATGATTCACAGTTGACTTTTAAGCATAAAATTTCTATCATGCTAAAATTCTGTATGAGTAGAATTGAGGTAGAATGGGAACAATGGGAAATAGAATGGAAATTTGAATTCTAAGACAGGGTGGCAAACAGTGACCCATGGACCAAATCCAGCGCACTGCCTATTCTTGTATATAAAATTTGCTGGAACACAGCCATGCCTACTCATCTGTGTGCTGTTTAAGACTGCTTTCATGCTACAGCGGCAACATTGAGTTGCTAGGACAAAGACTGCTCGGAAAGCCCAAAATAGTACTTGGCCTTTTACATAGAGAGTTTGCAGACCTGTTATTCAAGGAGAAAAATGATATAAAATTTCCTACTGTTAAAAAAGAGCTTATTCATATATTTTTAAATGAGTAATTATGGGTATAAAATCCCTATTGTATGTATACCCAAGGATACATTTGAAAGAGTGATGTAACAGTTTTATTTTTTCTGTCAATATTGTTATACACTGAAAGTTAGGTTCTTTGCAACTATTTCAACTGTGATGAAAAATTTCAAGCATCAACTTAAAAATGGGTACATAGAGGGTATACATAGATTTTTTTCAAAATAGGGAGGAGACCACTGCCCTTGAAGACAGGTTCAGGGATGTGACTTTCCATAGTTTAAGTCCATCCTATGACGGATGGGAGCTTGTCTCTTTTTCATGGAGCAAATTGAGCCCCAGGTGAGTACCTCAGCCCTCACGCGAGCTGTTCTCCCACAACCTTGATGGGTAGCTGAGGGAAACATTGGAGTCTAGCAGGACAATGTCAAAGAGCGGTCTTTTAAATGTCTGGGCTCAGTCTTACAGATCAGAAAAATCCTTCACAAGCCCCTACGTTGCCCCTTCTCCTGGCCAGCTAGGGGTAACAAAGTACAGCAGTGCCCTTCCAGGAGGTAGAAGGCTGGGCTTTTTAGGATGTCCCCGCAGAACTGATGGGAGCCTGTGCTGTCCTCCGGCTGCACTGATGGTGGATTGCACCACACGGGTGGATGTTTACACCTGCCTAGTAACCCTGATGCATGTTTTGGGTTGAATTCTGTCTTCCTCCAAAAATGAGACACTGGTCTTAATCGTCAGTACTTCAGGGTATGACCTTGTTTGGAGATAGGGTCTTTACGAAGGTAATCACGTTAAAATGAACTCCTTAGAATAGGCCCTAATCTGCTTGTGTCCCTGTAAAAAGGAGAAATTTGGACACAAAGATTGACATGCACTGAGATAAGACCATGAAAAGACACAGGGAGAAGATGGTGACCCACAAGCCAAGGAGAGAGGCCTGGGACAAATCCCTCCCTCACAACCCTCAGAAGGAATCAACCCTCCTGACACCTTGGGTTCAGACTTCTGACCTCCAGCACTAGGAGGCAATAAGTTTCTGTTGTTTAAGCCACCCAGTGTGTGGTACTTGGTACTTTCTGACAGTAGCCCTCCCAAACAAATACAGTGCACTGAAAAGCACAGGTTCTTTTAATGGACTTTCCAAAGCCCAGTGATTTTTATGTTTAGCTGTGTTTTGAAATTACTACATGACATGGTCCATCAGAGCACAAGTTGTTATCAGAATGCATCTAAAGACAGAGGACTGGAACCAGGGAGACTTTGACCCTGAACCCTAATCTCCTTCCTTTCCCCCTAGAGCAGTTCAGCAGGGAAGTTAAGATCAAAACCTCTGGAGCCAGAGCCCGTGGGTTTAAATTTTACTAGCCCTGTGACTTTGGGGCCTGAATGGCCTCACTTGTTAAACTGAGGAATAACAGAACCTGCCTTGTTAGGTTATTACAAGGACCAACTGAGTTCATAACATGTAAAACCCAGTGCTTGGCACATAGGAAGTGTTCAACAGTCAAATGTTCATTGTATTATTGAGGGGTCATAAAGAACAACCTCTACCTAAGACCACCCTAGACTTGTGAATCACCTTGCGAGTACTACACACATGTCCCCTGAAATTCTCTAAGTTTTGTTTGTGAAATTGCCATATAAATGTTAGAAGGGCTTTTTTAAAAATCTAGGATTGTCTTTTCTCTTGTTTTATCCTATCTTATTCCTCCAAAGCCTAATATTTGAGAAGAGCTAGAATGCCTTATTAATCCTTAAAAAAGTGTCTGCTCCAGCACCAGTTGGCAGTTAGATTTCATCAGTCACTTGAGATTATGGATTAACTCACTGATCTTTTTACCCTTCAAGCTAATTAGCCTTTGGACAAATACAGCTAGTCACAGAAGCCAAACACAGCTGACCAAACACATTTCAAAGAGTAAATTTGGTGGGTAAATAATGCCAAGCTTAGATCTCTCAGTAATATTGCTTTTCTGAGTCACTGGAATCTCGATGATCTTTCCTTCCCAGCTAGAGTTGGTAGTGAGGTGTTTACAACCCTTCTAAGCAAAAGGGACAGTGTGACTAATTAAACCAGCTAGCTCCTCCCTACTTAAGTCTCCGCCACCCCCCATTTAAGATGATTCTTTCTCTAATGTTCTCTAATAACTGGCCCAGTTTGACTTTAAATGCCTGAAGCATATCCTTTGAGACCCTTGTTTAATAGACAAGGGAGACTTTCCTAAATCCCCAGCTGAAATGTAATTTTACTCAATTTAATTTAATTACTACTACCTGCCAAGACTTTCTCACACCTCCGTAAAGCACCTTAAATAGTTCATGCCTCACCTTGGTGCTAAGGCCTATTAAGTACTTGTAGATAATTATCACATCCTCTTAGACAATGTTTGGTGAAACTCAATATTTTTAGACCTTGCCTTCTTTGCTAAAGAAGACCTCTCCAGGCAGACTTTTTCAAGCTCCCTTTAGTTGAAATTATTCTCACATTGTAATAGGCACAGCCTCACCCGTGAGTTGCAGGGAGTTGCAGGGGGAGTCTCTCCCTGGGGCCAGCCAGCCCCTTGGTAATGGCAGCTGGAATGGTGTGCCCATCCTGGTGTCCAGCTCTGGTCTCTCCTCTGCTATCTCCTTGCACTGGGCAACCTTACACTGTGCATCCATGATCTTCTGAGTGACCATTGCTTCTTTCTGACCCCACAGGGCAGAGTTCTGGAGAAAGAGGGATTCCAGATTGAATGACAGCTCTGACATTGCACAACCACATACCTGCTCATTGGGGTTTGGTTTTTGTTCATGCATTCAAG